TGAGGAGGGTCCCTTCCTTCCTTCAGAAGGTGCTTCCTGGATATGGAGTTTGGACTCCAAGTCCAGAGCTACTCTGCCAAAGGACCGCCAATCCTTATGGACCTGAGAGAACAATGCCAACTGATATTACTCAGGCGCTGCACGTAGGAAATGAATGAGCAAACCTTGCTCACTCATTTCTAACCCTGGAGTCGTTGTTAGACTCTCAAAGGTAGAATAGAGTTTGGACAAGGAGCCATCAAATTTCTTTTGGCCCAGGCGCATAATTTTATCTGCTGCTTTCCTGGCCTGCTCCTTATCTGCAAACCTATCCTGCAGGGCTTGCAGAAAACCAGCCACCCCCAACCTCTGAGCCCAATCAGACATCTCAATTCCCTGCTTGCTGGAAGTGGAGGTGCACCATTTCAGTGCAGTCCTTTCCAGGCGAGCGAGGATGGCAAACACCTTTACATCCTCATCACATTTGAACCCACTCAGGTAGGTTCTTTGTGCAGTGACCCAATCTGCAACATCCACCTTTGGGTCCTCGCCAGAGAACATGGGTGGAGGGGTCAACTTGGGCCGCTGAAAATCAAATGGTGCTGAGGGTTGTGAAGGTGCTGTTGATTTGGGAGTAGAGGGAGGAGATGTGTGTCTGGATTGTGGGGGTGATGAAGGGTTCCCTTGAGAAGGCCCAGGAGAAGGAGGGACTGTCAGAGTGGTAGGGATCTTTAAATGTGTACAGATCAGATCCAGTTTGGCGGAGAGGTCATCCAACTTTTTGGAAAAAGCTGAGTGGCTACTCTCCAGACTGGTGATCCTATCATCCCAGTTAGTAAAATAAGAACGGTGAATCTCTTCCTGCTGGAGGATGAACTCAGCCATGTCCTTATTGTACTGGCTGGAAGTACCACTCATCCTGATCTTCTCTACATCTGCAATCAGCAGCTTTCTCCTGGCCTGCTTCTGAGCTGCTGCTTTTTCTTCAGCTCAGCCTTTAAGCACTCAACTGCCTAGGCCTACGGGAGGAGTTTCTCCTCCTTGGCCCACAGTTCAGCCTATAAAGGGTCAAGCGGAATCTGAGGCCTCACCTCAGGAGCCTCTCCCTTCCCAGCATCTGCCATCTTGCTTTGTCCCACAATTCAGATAAATAAAAACAAACAAACAAACAAAGACAGACAGAAGGTAACAAGAGCTGGATTTTCTGTACAGTACTCGTCCAACTACTGCCACCTGACTGAAGAGAGAAAGTTGGTTAGTTTGAGCAAATGAGTGCTCAGTCTCTGCAGACCACTTGAGGGTCAGGGTCAGTTTAGAGTACACTCAGCAAAAATCCATTTCACGATTTTCCCATCACTGCCATGAACCAACAATTGCAAATCCTGCATCAATAACTGATAGGATGCAGTCTTGGACTGATTAGTGTTGATTAGTAGTTAGACAGAGTGACTAATTAGGGATGCACAGGTGTCCACTGGTAACCAAGATGCAGTGATCTACATGTAACCCTAGTCTTAGACCTACCCTGTAGACTTCACCATTGTATGACCCTGTATGCCATACCCTAGGTATGGCGAATTACAGTTTTCAGTGTAACTGACTCGCAACATCAAATCTAATTGTGCAATTTCAAACACCTATGTCAGCGCAGAATTCAAATTTGCATTATCAGTGACAACAAGACCCTGAACACACCAATTCACTTACACCGTATGAATCGCAATACTGTAAAGCAGTCACATATGGAATTTGGGTCAGAAACGAGGTCAAACGGGGTTACTAGAAGTCAAAGATGATAGGTAGGGGAAGCTGGATATGGCTGTTCTACAGTCTGAATTTCAATTTTCAACTGTAAACTGACAGACAGACCAAATTTCGCTATTCTAAAAATAGCCCCAGAATCGCCACACAGGGTAGAGTAAGGAACACACTTACTTCAGGATCAACTCTGAAGAAGATGAGTGAAACTCTGGCTATGGTTGTTCGGTCAACCCCATCTCGCCAGTTTCATCTCTTGATGATTCCCAATGTTCTCACATACCAAACTGCCTGAAACTTGGTGACCTAGTAGATTACCCTGAGGTGCTTCACCCCCAACTGATAGGTTCACCGAATTTGGACTCCCAGGTGCATATAACTGACAAATTCAGTGCAGCACCACATCACCCTGTACTGCGCTGCTGGGAAATTGGGGATCCTGACCCAATTCCACAATCGCAACCTCCTGGGATCACTTCCTTGTTAATCGCCAATCTCCAGATGAATCGCCAGGCTAATATAGCCCCTCAGAGCCTCCCAGGCCTCTGATCACCAATCGCCAACCACTCCTGCACAACCCTAGTCAGGATTGAGTCACCCTCTGTCCAATTCTTCTCGCCACACACTCACCACCACCACCCTTACTGACAACAACCCTGAAGATGATGAATCGCCATGAGACTCAACTCCAGTATCTCGCAAGATGATGATCACTGCTCCAACTCATCAATCGCTCCAGAGTCTGGATCCAATTGCTCCGATACCAACTGTTATGATTCTGGTTGTTCGTTGTCTGAAGACCAACACTCACTCACACAGACTTCCAGGTATGCCCATACATACACAGAAGGAAGGGGAGAGGATAGAAGTATCACACCGCACAAGGAGAGATAAACACAGCGGAAGACTTGACCATGCGATATAACAGGGTACACTGAAAGTGCAATTCACGCCACTCAATCCTCACAACCAGTCATAAAGAAAAGCCGAGCAGATCACATCCAGGAAACGATGAAACGATGATAGTCCAAGCCCAGTATCACACTGTTTATTAAACTTAGACTCTCGAATTGTCAGGATAACCTCGGAACTACAGTGCGCTGCTCAAGAGTGAGCAGCGCTTCACTCCCCAACCCTAAGTAACCACTCGTAACACCCCTGAGCCCCTGGAACATCAAGCGCCACCCAAATAATGCCTCCAGAGGACAGCGCCACTCTGAAGCAGGCCTATGAGGCCAAGCGCCACTCAGAGGGTGAAGAAGAAGACCAGCGCCACAATATCTGTTGATGACGAAGTGTCGAAAGACTTCCCGAGTGGAAGTCTGCAGCAGCGCCACCACTCCTGGCGAGATGACTTCTGAGGAAGAAGCTGCAGCTATGGCTGCAGCGCCACAACCCTGTGACCCCACTCCGGAGGAGGGTCCAGCAGGGCACCAACTTCTCTCGAATAGCCCAGACCTCTGACAGCCCCTGCGTGCTGACAGAGTCCAGCGCAGGTCCCAGCTATGGCCGGCCCTCCGAAGGTCTGGCTATGTCTGTCTCCCACAACGCTGAGCTGTCACCACTTCCGGTTCACGCGTAGCGCAGCAGCGATGTACTCGGTACCAACTGCCAAAAGCCCTGAACCAATGCGCCTAACCTATCTATAGGCTACTCTAGCCTAGACTCGACCTAGACCGGACTGACTGACCGACCGGTACCATTTCTGTTTCGGCCTCTACGGCCTCTCCCAACCCGGCTATAGGCTATAGGACCGTTTATTAAGGCCCTTAGGGCCTGTCTATTCTAGAGGTAGCCTGGGCCTGCTATTCGCAGTTAGGGTAGCTTAGGAAATTCAGTTAGTACTGGGCCTGTATTTTCCCAAATTTGCAGATATGTCCCTCACGAATTACCCCTACAGGTAGGTCTCTCGGTTAGCCCTCAGCCAAACAAAATTACGAATCTACCCTACCTATGGTACAGCCTCGACAAGAGAGAGGCTACAGACCACCAGAAACCAGCAAGTCATTGCAGAAGACTCCTGCATACTTAGTTGAACACTTGTTTTGGGTTGTTCGGGGTTGTTGTAAACGTGGTTGTGATTCTTGGAACGAGTACTCTGGATTTATATTGGAGGAGAATGAGTGATTGCAGAATTGAAATTCGTTTTTGAATTCTCTGTGTACTTTGAGCTTCCGCTGTGCATATCTTGTCCCGGGTTTGTGTGGATTTGCCTCCTTCGAGTCTACTCTGCAATTGCATGCGTGTATGGGAATGTGTGAATTCGTTGTGGATTGAAGGTCAATCTGGTACATAACATAATGATCAAATCCTCATGTTTACACAACTCTTGGAATCCAATGAACACAGCCTAAAACGCGGCCCCGTTCAACCACAAAAACATGACAGCATCTGAAACACACCCCACCTCCTCACGATGTCTGACACAAACTTGGAGTCAGAAATATTTCCATTTCCAATTTTCCAATCTCCCCGTTTGCTGATCTGTTCTTTTCCCAATGGACCCTCCCCAAAATACAATTGTGTTCATTACCCGCACATTAAACAGTGTGAACCCCCTCCCCCTATCAAGACCAGATCTGACACGTCATCATCACGACTCTCGATCTCTCGCAATCTCTGACACTTTTCGCAGAAGCTCTCTACATTCACTGACACATTTCTCGACCAGCACACTGCCCACTTGTCCACCAACCGCACAACCAAGTGTCGATCAAACAAAGTGTTTCACAACAGATATCGATCATTCATTTCCACGATACGACGGCCTAGATTGGCCAGGACGGGGTGAGTCAGAGCCTGCGGCCTATAAACTTTAATATAGTAGTACATATTAAAATAACAAAACAAATACACAATGCAGGAAGGCGTTGGATCTCACGAGGGCACATTGTGCCACAAAGCGTTAGACTGGCATTAGCAAATTTAGCACCTATTGCCTTGCTTGAAACTCCCACCCTCGCTGTTCTGTCTTGTCCGCTCAGGCGAGCTGTACTTCACAACTTCAGCTCATTTGAAACTTTCTGGTGTTGTCATTAGAATTGGAACTGTTACGAGTAACTTTCACTTTGTCGACTGCAGAGTTGGTTCGATTGCGCCATTACTTTTCCAACTTTCTTTGAAACAGTGTGCACCTGGTCCTTTGGTGTACCGTCAGTTTGCCTTTGAATGTGTGTGAGATTGAAAAAAAATGACAAAGTCATCCCCAGGAAAGCCTTTGGTGTGGGACAAGGGAACAGAGAAAGTAAGGCGAGAAGGTTTACCTCTGAGTGATGAGTGAAGCTCCAAATCACAAAGTCGGCACCAGAAAAGCCTACAGCAACCCTCTCTCCATCCTCCTCCGAGGCTCCTCTCCAACCAACCCATTCAACAGACGGAATAACTGGAATACGCTCAACCCCTGAACAAATCAGGACTTTGGAGAGCGCAACTGCAGCGGGTCCTGATCCTCTGCTGCTAGAACAACCATCCTTGCTAGCTGTGTGAGCAGAAGAACTCTTGGATTGCTTTGTGTACTCGTAAGTACAAACACAGCCATCCCTCCCCGTCTGCGCAACACCATCAAACAAATCCACAAAGACACGAAAATGACAAACCTGTTGCCTCTATTTTTTTTTTAAAGCTGTCTTCTCCTCATCGGGGGACCTCATTTTCCCTTTTAGTGAACTGCAAAGTTGGTTGAAAAAAAAAAAAGAAAAAAAAAAAAAGAACGGTTTTTCCAAATGCCAGGACACCTCTCATGAATCTACATGATATTATAAGCACTGTTTAGCATTGCCATCTCGTTACATGAATTTTCAATGCTCAGAAACAAATTAGCAAATTTATTATATATCCCCATTATTGAAACAGTTTTCACCTTTGGCAGTAGCCGATGCAGATCTCAGCTTACCTGTGTACAGTATCTGCACCGTTCCCTGGAGTTGAACCCGTGACCTGCACGATAGCCAGTGGTAAATAGGTCGCCGTAGGTTGTAGGCTGTAGGGAGATTCGAACTGTAGACCCGTAAGGTAGGAGTCCAAGTAGAGTCCAGAGGCCTAGCTTTAGTCCTTCTAGAAGGTCRGCAAGTGGTCAAGTGGTGAGTCTAAGGTAGGCCCACGTTTTCAGACGAAGACAAGTGGCAAGGTCAACAGGTAGGACCTCAGTGCAACTGCACTGAGTCGACGGTACGACTGCCTACAGTAAGCAGAAGGGTCTAGAGAGTCCCAGTCCAGTCCAGCAAGTACCACAGGGGGACTGTGAGCACCAAGGGCCGATGGCAAAGGGCAGACCAACGAAT